TAAGGTTGGACTTCTGGAGGACCTCTGGTCCAACCAGGGCCACCCACACCCAGGACCTTGTTGAACCTTCCTTGTGGGAGGAAGGGGCTGGGCAGGGAGGTGTGTGCAGGCAGCAGGGCAGGATGGGGTGGCACTGGCCATTGCTCTGGCAGCCCCACGGCCCCATACCTTGGCATGGTGAAGGTCCACCCCGTACATGGAGAGCTTCTTGGCGTTCTCCAGAAAGTGGATCTCCGCTTCCCCGGGGGTCATTCCCCTGCAAGGAGACAGAGAGGGGGACATGTGGCCAGGTGCCCCACCAAGTGTGGGCCAGCTGCCTGATGCCTTCCTCACCACCAGCCCATCTTCTCCTGGGGCTCACCGGTAGGGCTTGTGATGCGCTCCTCCAGCTCCCGCGTCTGGTTGGGGGCGAAGCGGAGCTCGCTGACGTAGTTGCCCACGTGCTCCTCAGCATCATAGTCGCCCAGCTCGGCCTGCACAGCGTAGGAACCCAGCAGGGCATGCGTGACGAAGGAGCAGGGCAGGCGCCCCGTGATGATGTCCGCACGGAGCTGCAGGCACAAGTAGTATCTGCAGGAGGGGGCAGAGGGTGAGAGCGGGGTGGAGGAACAGGCCCTCCAGAGCAGGCTGGGGCTCCCCGGGGAGCAGCAGTGTGCACCCCACCTTGCACTGCTCTCCGTGGGGACTGCCACCTCCCATGACTCTGCATGATTTAGACATGCCACACGCAGCGGGAGGGCAGCAAGCCCCCAGACATCCCCTGGCTGCCCATATCCTGCCTGACCCCTGCCCCTCCACATGCTCCCAGCTGGTCCCTTGGGAGCTGCAGCGGCAGCTGTGCCCATGGAGGGGTGGTCCTCACCTTGTGATGTCCTCTGTGAGCTGGGCAGGGTCTGGAGGGTAAAACTTCACGGTGAAGGCAAAGTTCCAGGGCCCACCTAGGGGGGATAGAGCAGGAAGGGCAGCACCCACGCTGGCTGCACGCAGGCGTGCAGGAGCATCCGGGCATCTACTAAGGGTCCCACGACTCCCTCCAAGCCTGGCATAGGGCAAGGACAAGGGGGCTCCAGAAGCTGCCAGGTGAACAGCCACTGGGACACCAGCACGACTTGGTTAATCCTCCCGAAACAGCTGGGGAAAGAAAAGCATCACAACTTCAGGAGCCATCAGCTCAGTGTGACTACCAATGTCACAGCAAAAGCCTCACATGTCCTAGAAGGTGACACCTTGGGCAACAGCCGTTCTTCCACCGCAGCAAGGCAACACTGGGGACAAAGGCACCCCAGGACCTGTCCCAGCAAGCCTCCCACTCTTCCCCCATCCCTGTCCTCCCTGCTCAGGGCAGGTGGGGATGGTGCCCAAAGAGGGACCAGGTCTCAGCCAGCTCTCCAGTGGCACAGACAGAGTCCTTTGCCCCTCACACCTGTCATGAGTAAGAGGAGAGGTGGGTAACAGGCAGCGGAACCAGCAACAGCATCCCTGTCCCCAGGCCAGCTGCCAAAGTCCCCTCCAGGGTGGGTGGGGAGGGGACCTGATGGAGGACAGCCACGGCTGAGCCACCCAGGAGCTCTGCAGCATGCCCCAGGGCTGGGGAGGATGCACCCTCCCTTGGCACTTACTGCGGATCTGCTTCTTGATCTCCTTGGAGGGGTCCAGCCAGTTCTGCAACGAGGAGACAGCAGGTCAGGGAGGCCCCGCACCACAGAGGGGGTGGCTGCCGAGGGGATCCCCGTGCTCACCTTCTGACTGTCTGAGTCGCAGAAGGTGAGGCCAAAGTAGTCCTTCTCCAGGAGGTTGAGGTGCTCGCACACCATGTCGAAGAGGACCTGGCCTCGGGCGTGCTTCTGTCAGAGACATGGAGAGGCTGATGGCGAGACAGTTCCTTTGTGCTCCCAGAGACCCGACCGCTGGGTGCAGGCAGGGAGCACTGGGGAGGGTCAGGGCAGCCCTGGCCCTCCACGTGACCACCAAAAACGTGCTGGGCTGCCTTTGCGAGCAGCCCTCTCACCTGGGAGCACCCCCGTGGGGACACCCAGTCCGTCTTGGGGCTGCAGGGACAGGGCACGGTCAAGTCCAGCCAGTGTGGGCAGGAGGTCCCACGGGCCAGGGGAACCTGTTGCCCACCCGGCTCATCCCCCATCACACCAGGAGACAGCAATGCCAAACCAGAGAGGGGTCCAGCCAGCCCAGGCACCTCTGCCCCAGACCAGCAAGCTGGGACAAATGTGTTGTGGCGGTGGGTGCTGCTGGTGGGACAAGCTCCTTCCCAACACCCTTCCTGCTGGTGGGACTTGTGGCTGGGTCCCAAAACACGTCATGACAAATGAGAGCCACAAAAAGCCCAAGCCACATGCAGGGATGGAGGGCTCCCTCTTTTTCCGGTCCTTTGAGTTCCCCTGAATTTCCCTTCATTACCGGTGGCAGTGAGGCCCAGGCTCGCTCATGGAGATGGAAGAACAACCCCTGCTATGTGTGTTTCTCCCCTATTTACAACCTTCCAGCCTGGCAGCTCCCATCTCCCCTCCCCAAGGCAACCATTTACCAGAGCACCTTCACCACGCAGCCCAGGGCACCAAGCGGCACAGCCCCGGCAGTCGCTGCGACCCCGGGCTCCTGCTGCCCTGCAAAGCTTTTCCAGCAGCTGTCACCCTTCCTGGGTCTCCTCCCTCCTGCTGACCCGAGTTTTGAAGGCAGAGGCTCACCCGTGGCATGTGCTGGGGTGTCACACTGAAGAGTTTGACTCCCCTTTTTTATTTTTACTGAATTAAGCCTTAATTAAGTACATGGGCAAGGCACGATGATTCCCACAGGCCCTGCGAGAAAGCAAGCAGAAATGCAGCACCAGCCTTTCTATGTTAAACCCTCTCCCCTGTGCCCCAGGTGGCTTTTCTAGAGAGCAGCATCTCTCTAAAAGTCCACTCCATCCTCTACACCGCAACAGCAGACAGCTCGTCCTTCCCA